TTTTTTTTTTTTTTTAAATAAAGAAACTAGTCCAAGGCTCAATGTTTTCCAAACATACTTGCGAGCCCGCGTTTTGGCACTGCGCTTTGCACCGCATTATAAAGCGCTCCTTCTGTTTTGCTCAAAAGCTTTAAAAGTAAAAAAAGGCATTTGTTACTAAATCCCAGGTATATTGAACTTGCATATAAATACTGTTTGAATTGGAGCAGTCGATGGCAGAGCTGGCTCAAAACCATTATGAAATCAGGTTTTCTGCATTCTTCCAGTTGCTAAGGCGTTGCGGTAGAAAACGTCTGTTTCCAGAACGCTCTAGGACTGGTTCGTACATGGCACAGTGGTATTTTAAAAATCACTTTAAACCATTTCAGATCAGACACACTATTAGCAAAAAAGCAGCAGTATGACTCAATAGCGAAAGAGAAGGCCCTTGCCTCTAATATCTACTCCATAAAAGAAAACAGTTGAAATAGTCCCATTCACACTTGAAACAAATCCATTAACATTTGCTCCCTAAACCATTATAAATAAATGCATTATCCTAAGATTATTTATATTTCAGCTATATCCATTTTATTCTCTTGAGCAAGGCAATATGACTAGGACTGAACGAATAATTTATAACAAGGCACACACTTATTTTAATTTTGCCTTATTTTTTGTTTCGCTCATGGCATATTCATGAGCACACTGCAGATTTCTTGAATTTGTTGTTGATAATTACTTTACGGCAATTTTACAAACACGTGGCTTAATCCCAATCAATTTTCTGGATAATATGGCATGTTCAAGATGTACTGGACAGTTAAGTGGATGCCCCATGTCTTCTTCTGCTCTCTGGCTGAAGAAGGACTTCTGGCAAGAATACTTGAGGATATCTGAAACAATTCAATTTCTCTAAATGCTTGTGCATGTGGCTTTCAAATTCATTTCTGCAAGCACTCGTGCCAGTGAGAACAGATAACTTGCACATTCCCAGAAGGTGAGAACATAAGCAAAGCAAATTAAAGTTAAAAAAAAGAATAAATAAGTATAGAAAAATGTTTGCATTTATTTGCCACCTCCGTAGTCATTATGCCTGAAATAGGAATATGAGAGATACGACATAGTACCAGTTTAAATAAAATACTTTTTTTCCTCTGCAAGCGACAACACGTTCGCTGTCGCCAGTGTGCGGAGTTCCTTCTGTCTCTCTTCTTCCCTCTACAAGGAAGCGAGAGGGGAAAACTCGGCTACCGAAATGCCCGCTGGAGCCCTGGGGGCCTGCTGGCACCCCTCCGTTTTGGGCAACGCAGGCGGGAGGCTGCTCCCCGCCGGAGCCCCGCGGGAGCTGCAGGGCACGCCGCCGCGGGCGCCCCGCGGATGAGCCCGCGCGCACCGCTGACCGCCACGCTCGACGGCGCTGAGCGACATGGTGGCGTTCTCCACGCAGAGCTCCCGGGAGGATCTGGGAATGGCAACACCTTCAGCCTCTGCAGCCCAAACCACCTTAGGTAGATTAACATCTTAAATAAACTGAGAGCTCAACTGGAGAGAGATCCAGCTCAGACACTAAGGGTGCTACCCGTACTAGCTATCTAAAGCCACTTTTTGCCTCCACTTAGGTGTGATGCACAGGATCGATATGAGGAGCACAGGTTCCCCATGCAAACAAGGTTTAGGATGCGGATTAGACCACCTGCACGCCTGAAACAGATGTGTGACAACGCAACGGGAGAGCAGAGGGGCTCCTGCGGGACCTAGGTAGGTGCTGGAAGGGCTGGGAGGAGCGAGGGACACCCCATACAATACCAATGGCTCCAGTCTTGAAGGATCAAACCTACCGGAGTTAAAGACGGCATCCATCTACCTACACTCAAGCGCACACCTAACGCCTTCCTCAGTCATGGACCCTCTTCTTGAGATCACAGCTCACTCCAGCTTTGCTAGCCACCACAAAAGGTACGTTCGCTTAGGAGAATGACAACGTCCCAGAAATTATCCTCCCTGCAAAATTTATAGTTCAGATAGCAATCCAGAGCACAGCGGGGCAAGTTTGCAGCAGGGAAGCTACTTCACCTGCCAAGCCCTGGCAAATATGTCAGGTATGAGCCGGTCAAACACATCCAGCTGCCAACCTGCTAAGCAGGAGCCAGCATGCCTCGTGATGCAGGGTGACACCGGCCAATGGCCACGACAGTGAAGCAAAGGAGCACGAGGGGAGGCTTCTCACCTCAGCATGGTGATCTTTCACATACACCTCACCATTTTGCCCATCGACAGGAGTTTGCAGGGACCACCTCAGTGCTCTGTGGCTTCCAGTCCATGACTATGTGCTACGTTGCTGTTTCCCTGAGCAGTGGAGCAGGCTGGTGTCATTTAAACAACGCTGTCCGGCAACGAAAT